AAAATAACATTTGGGGGCAGGGACTGTCTTTTTATTATAAGGGTCCTAAGTGCCAAGCACTAGAGGGGTCTGATTATTGACCAAGGCCTTCACAATATATAACAATAAAACACAATATGTTTGTTATACGCCGCCTTGGATCAGTGATAGTAGCCAGGTGTATCTTGCAGATTACCAGCACTAAAAGCACAGGGTCAGACTAACCACTTCAATAAGCAAACGTAACCATTGGAGTGACTGCACATTGACCCATGTCATACAATAGCGGTATTAACTTCTATTTCCAGGCTTCTGCCACCTGACCAAGGCCAGGGTTACAGAGGTTAATGAGCTGGTGTTTTCTTTTACAGAAGACTAATTTCAATTGATTATCACGGTGGGCTGTGATCTTGTTAGCTGTTCTAAGATTAGCATGATAAGGATTCCTCATGGTGTGGATGGGAGATCTTCAAGGGAAATGCAAGTGTGCCACAGGAAATGCTATTCTTAATTCATTTGGTGTGTACTTCTTTCCAATTCAGCACAGGAGCTGACACAGTGCTAAAGGACACTGTAGCTGGAGAAAGGTAAAGGAGAGATAAAGTCAAGAAACTGATAGCTTGGGATCATTAATGCCCCTGTGAAATTTTTTGGAAGAGTAGAGATATTGGTCCAGGGACTCTGATCAAATTTCAATGTGAAATTTCATAATCCCTGAAATTAAGATTTAAAAGTTTAGCTTGCTTATATGCCTTGTGTCCTATTTCAGTCCATATCCTATGTAGTTTTCATACTTCTCTCACCTTGTACAGTAAAAGCAGACCACTGAATTTCACTTTCTATTTGCAGTCAGAGTTGGTTTCCTGTTCTCCTGCATTAGCACAAACATTGCTGTGTTTGAGTTTCCAGTACTGTAAGTAAATTCTCCCAAACTTTAAAATGTTGCCTGGACACTGATTCTAGTTGCATTACATTTTATACATTTATGATTTTCTCTCCACCACCCCACAACCAAAATTTGGGATTATGATATTTGTCATAATGTCAGTAAGAGAAGGCCTATCCTGTATGGTCCTGTGAAGCCTTCTAAACATTCTTTTTCCACTTTTGATTTGTATTCACCCAGTTCTTCTGCTTTCGTATAACCTGGATTCCCCAATCCAAGCAGATGTATAGCCTCTCATTTCCATGCCACCCCCAGCTTTGAATCTCTCCTTCTGTGAGTCTTTGATCTTTGTTTCAAGATCGTTAGGGGGTTTAGCAATGTTCTCTGTTTACTGTGAAATTTGTCTTTCCCCTCTTTTCTCCCCTATTCAAGGTTTTTGAACACCTTCAGGAGTGAGATAAAAATGTACACTGAGATGCTGGCACTTTTGTCTAATTCCCCAATCAACTTGATCTCTTCGCTCGCCTTGTCAGGCTTAAATGTCATTGTGCTATTCATGTAGATATTTCAAGATCACTTACAGTCCTCCCTCTTTCAGTGTTTCAAACTGTACTTTTATTGCCAGCATGTCAGAGGTCTTTTCATACTCTCTGTAAAAAGCTGCTCTGAGCAGCTTGTTCTATTCAGGTGCCAACTTCAGAACTTGAGTCACTTTGGACAAGCCACTGCTAAAGAATTAATGTGTAAACTGCCTGTTGTCATCTCAGATTACAGCTCAGATTTTTGTGTGGTTCCTTCACTAATCCATTTGTGACTGCCTTGTATCTTTTCAACAATAAATTGATGGGGGAGCAGAGGGGATGTCCCATTATGTAGGAGAATTTGGGGCTCGGGTGGGGAAGGACAGGGACTACGCAAGAGCATCGGTGATTGTTCAGATTGGTTCAGCAGTCCCTGCAGTTGATCACCCGCTTGGAGGAGGGCAGATCAGAGAGGCTGCAGAAGCAGTTCCATTTGCTCTGTGCAGACTGGAGGAAAACATTTCTTACCCTCCATCCTCATGAAGGGCCCTTAAACATGGCCTGGCCCTGTGTTTTTAGTTGTGGCCATTGGAAAGATCTCATACTTTACAAGTGTCACTGAGCTATGTCTCAACCTCTTCACTAGTCATCCCTGAATAGCTGCCTCTCACTTGCCCCTTTCTTTTCTAACAAGAACCTTGTTTGAAACAAGGACAGGTGACAGAACAGATTGAAAGCTGCACTTAAGGGGCAGGGATTAGGTACTTGTAAATACTCATTTTCAGGACAGGTCCCCAGGGATCTTCGTCTTGCTTGCCTGTCTCAGTGCTATGAGATGCTCATCTCCTATTGATCTATCTATTGGACACAATACACTGCCAGGTCTCCTTTTGCTACTTTCAGCTAGTTCCATGGTAGCTCAGGTCTTTTCGCATGTTTGAGCCCTTTGCTTGGTGTACCTCCCCACTCCTAGCTGGCAAAGCCAGTACCTTTCCTTTACCCAAACCTTTCTACAATGCTCACCCCTGCTTGTGGTCCAGGAAATGCACATTCATTACAATAATTACCAAACATATCCAGTGACTCCCTCTTCCTTCCCCTCCCCCAGCTACATTTGCCTTCTGTAGAGTGCAAGCTCATCAACACAGTTTGGGCCAACTCCTCAGCTGCTGCAAATCCAGAGAGCTTGATTAATTTTTAGTGGAGTTAAGCCTGTTTATGCCAGCTGACACTCTGGCCCACAGCCTTTTTTCTTTGTGTCTTAAACAGCACAGAGCCTATTGTTAATTCTAAATAAGTACTAATAAAACAATAGAGTATGGCACTTGGAACTGTTCTGGTCTCTAGCAGATCAGCAGGCAGTAAAAAGATTCCTGCGGGGGATACAAAAGTAAAAGGCCCTTGAAAGGGGTTTTATATGATCCATGAATGGCAGAATGGAACAATCAGTGACAATTTTGCACAACCAAGGGTTTGGGGTTTTTTTCAAGCAGAGGCTACATAAAATGTTAACTAACTGATCAAACTGGTCTCACCTTAATAAGCAATATGTGACATACAATGCTGAAAGGCTGGCAGGGAGAGAGAGACATCAGCTCAAAGATGCATTGAGATTTTTACTTTAGAAAAATAACGTAATTCACCAAATACCATCTTCATGAGATTTGTGCTGGCTTTCACAGGCACTAATGCATCTGGTGAAAGAAAGTTGTCAGTACTGAAAGACGTTTAGATCTAAGAGGAAGCACAACTGTCAGCAGAGACAGCAAAGCAATGACTGGGGTTAAGGCCCATCCAGGTAGTAATAGCTGTGAGTTCAGAAAATAAAATTAAAAGGGATAAAGCAACATCTTCCATCTAAAAGGAACCTCTTTTCTTTTATATTAACCCAAATATTGTTTTCTCCCCCGCCCCCTTTTTTCTTGATTGCAAGTTGGCATTAGACAGATTCTGGAACCACAGTTAATGGATAAGTGGATTTGTCTCATACTGCAGCTTTACACAGTGTGTTACTGTGGGCGTTACTAATTGCTAAGCAGATTTAAAGTGTTCTTTGAGTTGCAAACTGCAGTATTTCTGCACATACTGATTATTATTCATCTTTTCCAAAACACTATGGACCTGATCCTGCAATCTGCACTCCTACTAAAGTCAGTGCTGTGGGAGTTTTGCCTGAGTAGAGATTGCAAGATTAAGACCCAATTAAAATAGCTGTAAGGTTGAGCTGGGCAGCAAACAGTTCCTCCTCCCTCCCCTCAATCCCTGGAAACCTTTTTAAGTGCTCATGAGGTAGAACTAGGCCTCAAACTGCAAACTCCCACATCCTAGTTCAGTATCCTAACAACCCAGGCTATGGTCTATTCTGGGATCCATCCATACTGGAATTTGTCTGTCTGTCTGTCTCTTATCTCCTCCTCCTCCCAGTCCCTTCATTTTTCACCAGAAATTGCATCCTTGACTCCCCAAAAAACCCTTTCCCAATGGAAGTTTAATCTCAACTAGTAAATTCCCACTTTACTGGAAAATTCCCAACCCACTCTACTGAAGGGTATAATTCCACGAGTCCTAGAGAGGTTCGTGTGCCTCCTCATAGCTCGGTCTGATTCTAGGGTTGGGACTTTTTGTTTGCTGGCTAGCTAGTTTTCCCAGTTTTGATGTGGCCGTTTTCATTTCTTAGGAGAATGAATTCAGCAGTCCTGTCCCACGAAAGAAAAATTCCCTCCAGACCTCACAAACCTCCCTCGCTGGCCCACAGCACTATTGTGACAGTAGAACGTAGCCACGGGAGAAGGTCATGGCTGCGTAAAGGGAGCTGGAGCCAGCTCCATGTATGGCTGTGACTTATTAGGACAGAGACCTTGAATTGGATTCAGTACTGAATGGTGCGCCAGCTCGGAGAACGGAACAGTGGCGTGATGTGTTCATGGAAACCTGCGTTGCTAAGCAGAGAGGATGCTGTGCTTTGTACCAAGTGGAGCTTTTATGGATTATGAAGTTTCATTCCTTGAGATAAGTTACAGTAACAGAGCCTGAAAGTGATAAACGTGTGCACACCATGGCCAGGCTGGAGTTGGTAAGCTGGGGTAGTCTCCTGGCTAGTCAGAGGTAGAAGTGGGTGGTTAGCAGCTGTAAGAACTGGGCATCCGACAGCTGTGAGGCCCTCTAAGCTACACACTAATTAAATGTGAACTCGGGGCATGGGGGCAGCTGCAACACTACTGTACCAGCAGCTCCCATCTCTCCATGCAATGAAGCCTGGGTGAGCCCTTTCCACCCCAGAATACACACACTGGCAAGAGTCACCATCAAGCCCTTTAGTGCTACCTAACACATGGTTGTTCAGAAAACATATTACGTGAAATCCTGGACCTACTGAAATTAATGGCCAAATCCCACTGACTGCAGCAGGACCAGAATTTCATCCACGGTGTCCACAAATATTGTTGAGAGTGAAAAATGCTCAGTCAAAAACACAAGCAAAGAAGAGAATTTTCAAAGGTCACAACTTGTTACTTTTCTACTGTGTGAGTGTTTAATAATGAACCTTGGGACGTGGGCCACATTAGCCCTAATTATAGCTCATTAAATATTTATATAGCTTAATCTTTTCTCACCTGGGTTTTTTTGTTGCAATATGATGTGTTTGTGCTGCTGGCCTTTCCTTCTAACTTAGCTCTTTGTTCACCTTGCAGGTTTCTGATCCACTCTCACTTGTGTTTGAAAAAGTCAGGGATGGGAATGCATCTCACTGAGACAGGGAACCAAGAGCAACGAAAATGCCCTGCTAAGAAAACCAAAGAGAATTTAAGCACAAAGGAGTTTACACAGCTTTTTTCATAATGCAAAACAAAAGATTTCATGAAAATTAGCTGCCAGATGTCCCCTAAGGAATCCACTGGGACAACCACACTCATTTCCATGTGAAACCTCAGGCAGAATGGAGCCGACATTGCTAGTGGTAACAGGCTAGTGCATTATCTCTGTGCCACACCTTGCTACTACCAAGGCTATATTAGATGAACTAAAACCAGGTGGGAGTAAGATGAACCATGCATGGCAGCAGATATTATGTTAGCAGTGCAGCCCCTCTGTTTCAAGTCACTTGTTAAAATAACCCTTTTTCCTAAAGACCTAGAAGCGTTATTCCTCTTGCCATGGGACAGTTACTGGTCCAAATGACAAATGCAAAATAAATCTTACTGATTACAATAATTTGAATGAAACTTGTGAGAGAGTGCCCTGGGCAGGAAAGAGTGCTGGGGTCAGATGACCCCAGCCAGGTGTTCCTCCAGTCTCCTTTTAAATACCTTCAAGGAAGGGGACAGCAGCACCTCCCTTGGAAGCATATTCCATATTTTGGCAACCCTCACTGTAAATAATTTTTTCCCTGATGTCCAATCTAGATTTGGTCTCAGTTTGTGGCCATTGTTTCTAGTTACCCCGATGGACACCCTGGTAAACATCATATCCCCTATTTCCTGCTGTCCCCCCCCCCCCGGGTGGGGTTTTAGATGGCCACAAAATCACCTTTCAGCCTT